TGAGGGGGGCTTTTTCGAAGACGGCCTGATCTGTACAAGCCCCAGGGAAGAGGCTGGTGGGTCCAAACAACCCCCCAGCCCCAGGACCCTGCAGCGCCCCACCAGCCTCAGGATGCTCTGCCCTCACTGTCCCAGTGCTCCAGGGGCAGCCTGAATCCCTGCGATCCCAACCAGAGCCTCACCTGCTCTCTTGTTGCTTTGCAGAACAGGGAACCCCCATCCTCCTGCCCGGCCTTCAAAGAGGGTGAGTTGGTTCTATGTTTGAGCAGCAAAAGCACCCAGGAGTCCTGACCCACCACCTCCTGCTCTGACCCCGAATGTGGGGTGGCCAGGGGCCCCAGCCAGGGAGGGAGCACCCTGCTCTGCACACGCAGGCTGGGAACATGGCTGCAGACTCCGGGTTGGCTTGTTCAATCACAGCTTGCCCTTCACTGAGCAGATGGGGGTGCTTCAGGGATCAGGGAGGTGGGATGCTCAGGCTTGGGAATGGAGAAGAAGGGATGCCAGGGTGTGCCTGAGGGAAGAGGGAAGCAGCCCTGCAGTCAGAGTTGATCCCCTGTTGATGCCACAAGCCGATCTCCCAAGCCGTGAGCTGCTTTGCTGTGTGTAGGAATGCAGCTAACAGGCAGTAGGAGTTGGTAGCCCCAGTTTTCAGAGGTGGGGGGACCAGCCCTGGCTTAGTCCCTTCTGATGCTTCAGTTCCAGGCCCTTGCGACCCAGAGGATCTGCTGGATGGTGTGATTTTTGGGGCAAAGTACCTGGGCTCCACGCAGCTAGTCTCAGAGAGGAACCCCCCAACCAGCGTTCGCATGGCACAAGCCCAGGAGGCGGTGGACAGGATCAAGGTGCAGGAGGGTAGGGGGGCATGACTGCCACCAGCCTGGCCCCTTTTGGGTGTGGGGCAGTGCTCAGGCCCTGCCCAGCAGGACCTCCTGGCTGTGGGGCAGGGACCCAGAGAAGTCCTGGCCAGCAGCAGTGACCTCTCCTGGGCACTTTGTTCTGCAGGCACCAGAGGGGGAGTCCCAGCCCATGACAGAGGTGGATCTGTTTGTCTCCACACAGAGGATCAAGGTGCTCACAGCTGATACACAGGTGAGGGGGGAACAGGAGCATCCACATGGGCTTGGGGGCTGCTGAAACCTTCCTGTTTGGCCTTGGGATCTCTCCTTTGTGTATATGCTGGTGGGGTCGTGCCCAAGGATGGCTTATGGGCCAGGTCACGTGTCTGGGAGGAGACATGGCATTCTGCAGCCGTCCCATGTAGATGTGTTGTGTCCCTCGGCTGTCTGCATGGCTGGACAAGGCTTCTCATGCAAACTGTGCCTAACGGGAGCTGCTGGGTTCCCAGACCAAGATCCAGGCAACCTAGGCATCAGATTTCCGTAGCTCTTTGCCTCAGGATTAGTTTCTGCTTTATAGTAAGAGGAAAGAGCTGTCTTGTCCCCTGGCAGCACCCAGAGACATGGATGAGTCGTTGACTGAAGGAGCTGTTTGTACCTTTTAGCGTAGACATGGTTTCTGCCCAGTGTGTGCCAGGCATTTGAGCTGCATCCCAGCATGGTGGCATCTGAACACAAACCCTTCCTGCTTGTGGTGGTGCCTGGCTGGCTCGCAGGCTGCCCACAGGGCACATCGGGCTGGGGAGGGCTGAACGTCTCTGCCCGTATCCCCCTTGCCAGGAGGCCATGATGGATCACTCCCTCCAGACCATCTCCTACATCGCTGACATCGGCTCCCTCGTGGTGCTCATGGCGCGCCGGAAACTGCCTCGGCGGTCGGAGGTGGCAGAGGAGAAGCGGCTCTACAAGATGATCTGCCACGTCTTCCACTCAGCCGACGTGAGGCAACACACAAGTCCCTTGGGAGGGCAGGGTGGCATTGGGGTCCCGGGCCCCATCTTGCTGTGAGGGCGGGGTGCTCTGGGTCTCTGTGCTGGGGGCTCCTGCCAAGGACAGAGTGGGGGAAGGAGCCCAGCCTGAGCACCTCTGCTACATAGAGGGGCCCAGCGAGAAAAGCGGGGAGGATTGGCACCGTAAAGGGGCCTATTCAGGCAGGGAAGGAGCAGGATGTCCTGGAGCTCCCAGGGCACAGTGCCTGTGCTGGGCATGGCAGGGCGCTGGCAGCTGTTGGCTCCAGTTTGGCCATGAGACCATAGGGCCTGAGCCATACGCACAAACAGCCCCTCTCTTTCACCAGGCCCAGATCATCGCTCAGGCCATCGGGCAGGCATTCGGCGTGGCCTACCAGCGCTTCCTGGAGGCCAACAGCATCAACCCGAGTGAGCTGAGCCCTCGCCAGTACAGCCGTGCCCTAGAGGACCAGGAGCAATACAATGCAGAGCTGTCCCACTTCTCCCGGCAGGAGAACTGCAAGGATGTAAGAGCTGCTTTGGAGGGGTGGGAACAGTGTGGGGTACCCACTGGCACCTCTGTGTCATCCCCTCCACAGCTACCTAAGCAGCTGAGGTCCTCCCTACAAAACTGGGTCCCATCCCAGCTGGCTGTGAGCCCAGGACACCCATACCAGGGGCGGGACACATGCCCCATGAGTCTGGTGACCATACACACCTGTGCCCCCCTGCCCCCAGGTCTGCATCCGGAAGCAGAAGGGGGAGATCCTGGGCATCGCCATCGTGGAATCGGGCTGGGGCTCCATCCTGCCCACAGTGGTCATTGCCAACCTGATGCACGGGGGCCCCGCGGAGAGGTCGGGCGAGCTGAGCATTGGCGATCGCCTCATGTCTGTCAACGGGACGAGCCTGGTGGGGCTGCCCCTCACCACCTGCCAGAGCATCATCCGGGTGAGCCGGGGCTGCACCCGGGGTGGCCTCCTGCCCCCACCCTGGCAGGAGGGCGAGCGCTGCAGAGACGGGCACCGGCCTGAATGCGTCTGGGAGGGTCTGTAATGCTGGGGTCCCCCACGATGCTCCCGGCTTGGGGGCAGATGGGTGATAGGAGACAGAGGGGCAGGAGTGTGGGCAGCCATACCTGTCCTGTGGGCTGTGACCGTCCCTGCTCTAGTGCCTGGGAGGAAGGGATGTGACAAGGCAGGGACAAAGCTGGGGATTAAACTTGATGTGGCAGGGTGCAGCCAGGGCCCTGCCTGAGGAGGAGGGTGGCTGAGGAGACAGGCACCTGTCCTGGGTGGAACCTGTTGCATCTCCTACCTCCAGGGGAGGAAGGAGCTGAAATCAAGGACAGTATGGCCTCAGGGGCAGAGTGGGATGTCTTGGACTGTATTGATAAGTTCTTCTCCCTGAATTTGAGCATGGCAGTATCCCTGTGTGTGCCTCAGTTTCCCCATTGAAAACAGGTTGCTAATCCTCAGCCCTCCTGTGAGCAACATGGCTGCATCACCCCTCTCAACCACATTGAATAACTCTCCAAAGTCTGACAAAGCCCCCTCCCATCTTCCAGGAGCTGAAGCACCAGACAGAGGTGATGCTGAATATCGTGCACTGTCCCCCTGTCACCACGGCTGTCATCCGGCGCCCCGACTCCAAGTACCAGCTCGGCTTCTGTGTTGAGAACGGTGTGGTGAGTGTCCACGGGGACAGGATCGGAGCCAGACTGGGGTCAGGTGAGGGCTTCAGCCACCCGTCTGGCAGATGGACACACTTCTGGCTGTGTCCGTATGGACGAGTGCACAGCTCCAGTGCTCCTTGAGCCTGCGCTGGTTTCACAGGGCTCTGCTGTGCCACAGCAAAAGGCTCTTTGTAGCTCTCTTGCAGCACTGGTGGTTGGATCCATCTTCCTGGTGCTCCTTAGCTGTTTGGTTTTGGGGTAGTGTTTTCTTCCTGGCTTTCTTGGTGTGACCCGAGTGATATTTGTTGCTGTCCCCAGTGCCCCAGCCACTCCATGTTCCACAGTGGCTGCGTTGGAAAGGCAGAGAGGAGCATTTCCAAGACCAGTAGGCATTGATGGGGTGGGTGGGTAGTGGAGGGAATGGCATGGCTGCATTGTGCAGCAACCAACACTCCCAACAGTGAGACGCGGTTACCCTACAGGTGCGCAGGAGCTGCTGCCCCAGGGAGAAGCTCTGGCTCTGCAGCCCAGGCTTGATGGGAGCACAAGGGTTCAGTGGGTGGAGGCGGGGAGCTGAGCTCTTTGTCAGCCCACGGGCTGCCCTTGCCCCACACACAGCTCAGCACATCGCTCTGGTGGCAGCAATGCAGAGGGACTTCCCTGCCCTCTCTGCATGCCCATGGACTGGAGGAGACAGCACCCAAGTCCAGAGCTCTTGCCGGGACCGTGCAGGGACAAGAGTGTTCGAGGGGGTGATCGCGCATGGCCTTGGGCTGTGGGCACAGCTCTGATCTTACCAGCGCTCCCTGCTCCCTAGATCTGCAGCCTAATGCGCGGGGGCATCGCAGAGAGAGGTGGCATCCGCGTGGGGCACCGCATCATTGAGATCAACGGGCAGAGTGTGGTGGCAACGCCCCATGAGAAGATCATCCAGATCCTCACACAGGCAGTCAGTGAGGTGAGCTGGGCCCAGGCTGGGTGATGGCCGGGGCCCCATGCCCTGGGGCAGCTGTGGCTGCACACAGAGCAGGCCGGGCTCAGGGCTTTCCCCCAGCACCCTCCAGTCTGGGGTTTGGCATCTCCCAGCTGATCTGTGCGTCTCTGCCTAGGTCCACATCAAGACCATGCCGGCCTCCACGTACCGCTTACTGACCGGGCAGGAGCAGCCTATCTTCCTCTGAGCCACCGGCCGTGCCCGGCTGTCGCTGCACGTGCCTGGGGCCAGGCAGGAGCAAGCTCAGGGCCGCAAGGGCAGGACAGGCTCTGCCTCCTGCCCCCGTGCCCCCATCGGAGCCCTCTGGTCCCCAGCAGGGCCTAATCCTGCACCTCTTCTGTTTTACTCAGGACACAGGGGGAGACTCTGGGAGCCTGATACCCAGCTTAAGCAGTGTCAGGGCCTATGGTGCTGCGGTTTGGGCACCTCGTCCCCCTCCATTCACCCCTCCCTGCCTCACGGTGCCTGCATGGTGCCTCTCCCGCTGCTTCACAGGGTCCCTCAACTAGGCCTGATGCTGGCCGGAGGAGAGGGGACCCCACGTGATAGGTCACCCCATCCAGTCACTACAGACAGTGCTTTTACACTCACCGACGGTGCCTTTCCCCTGTGGGGATGGTGCTGGAAGCACAGCTCCAGGGCTCGCCCTAGCACGGCCCCAGAGCAGCGCTGACGTTGCACACCAGTGTGTGGGTGCACACTGGCATCCCCAAGGCAGGGCTGGCAGCTTCCAGACTGAGCCTTAAGGGCAGCAGCACCCTTGGCACCTGCTCCTCCTCCCTGGCTTCGCCAGAGGCCTGTCAGGAGTGCAAATGAACTCCCCGTTAGACCTGTTGCACCGAGCTGGAAAGCTACCTCTGCTTTTCCCTGGTGCTGCCTTTAACCGCTCTGCACGCACAGCCTGGCCCCAGGGCACTGGGTCGCAGCCCTCAGGGCTGTTCCTCAGCGCAGCGAAAGGGAACACGGCACTGCGCAGTCCCACATCCGGGGGAGCTTGGGGTCACGAGTCCCAAGGACCAGCCCCTGGTGAGGTGTCTTTTCATGAGTGGGTGTCTGGGCCTCTATGGCCGAGGCAGTGCTGACCTGACTTTGCCTGTTTTCCTTGTAAAAATAAAAGTTTTGGGGAACATGGGAGCCTGCGTTTCAGGAGCCCTGGCTGCGCTGCAGCAGAGGATGCTCAGCTTTGGGGCACACACCCTGAGCCCGCTGCAGTGCCAGATGTTGGCACAACCCAAGCCTGATTCCTGCACCGATGGCTGTCGAGGCAGGTGCTGGCCACCCTGCCACGTGGGTTTCCCTCACCACCCAGCACGCACAGAAACAGCCCGTCCTGATCAAAACATGCCTTTTATTCCAGCAGCAGAGGCCATGGCCAAAAGGGTGAAGGAGGCGCTGGGTGGTGAGGGGCACAGCAGGCTTAGGCCCAACCCAGCCTGGCTGCGGGGTGCTGCATGGCGCTACCTGCACTGTCACGTGCAGCCGGTGGCGTGGGACTGCGGCAAGGCTGGCCCAGGGGGGCAGAGGCCAGCAGTGCCGCTACACGTCTGTAGCTGGGCCCCACTCGTAGCCTTCATCCTGGTCTGAGTCTTCCCTGGCCCGGGTGAACCTCTTCCTCACAGCGTCATGCTCGTATTCCCTGGGGGATGAGAAGCCTCGGTGATGCCTCTGGCACCCCGTTGGGGCCGGGGGCAGAGACAGTCCCCTGCTGCGTGGGGCCGGGCCAGGCAGAGCTGGCACCCTCGGCTCCGGCTCCGCAGGCCCTCCCCAGTGCCAGGGCTGGCCCTGGTGCACGAGGTACCTGATGCTGTCGTAGCGCTGGCCCCGCTGGCCATGCTGGCGTTGCTCAGTCACCTGTGAAAGACCAGAGAAACGGGGAGGGTCGGCAGTAGGGGCAGGATTTGTGCACCAGCCTGGGGCTGGGCTGCATTCCCTCATGGGGAACCAGAGCTGGGCATGGATGCACAGCCGGACCCTGCGGCAGCTAGGTGCGACGGCCTGCCTTTGCCGCCGGGGACAGGGATT